TTCTGATCCTGTACTAAAAAAAAAGGAAAATTACAAAGAAATCTCAAATAAGTGAATTGATCACTAACAGCTCTCATGAATTTGAGTTATACTAACAAGTCGCAAAATACTTGGAAATAAATTGATGAAAGGGAGAAGTCAAAAAAAGTCAAATGGCAATTGAATAATTTCACACACTTTTTTCCAATTATTTTGATTTGAAGTGCCCTAAAGTTTGGGAAATCACTTTTGAGCACGTCTACAAAGAATGCGCTAACCTCCTAACCACAGAACTTCAAGAGATCATTTTGATATTACGGCGTTTGATAGACCACCTGTTAATTGTAGATGTCTTATGGCTTCCGACATGACTTGATTTTGATTTTGGTTTCCTTGCACAGTTTTACCGTGGCCAGTATTCTAAAAAAAAAAGTACTCTAAAAGTTTGAAACCTATATATTAGTAATTTCTCGCTGCTTCATAATATTTATATAATTCATAATTTTAAATAAAAATTCAAATTATTTATCTCTCAAGAATCAATTAATATGAAAATTGACATGTTTCATATCTTATCCCATCGACTCAAATTTTGTCTCATATTTATTCGTGTCTGTTCTCTCAAATTTTTCTTAGGTTGGATCGATTCTATGAACACTCCTAATTGAATATATGCTTATGATCAAACACAATTGGGAGCACATTCAAATTATCTTTTCATATCATAAAGATATAAGTTATTTTTCATTGAAAAAACATAAAAACTCATTTTTCCAATCCAATTATATACATGATAAGAAATTGAATTGTATATTTTGTAGGATTAATTATCAATTAAATAATGAACAATGGAATTATAAATAAAAAGAAGGATAATGTAAGTTGTAAATTACCCGAAAACCAATTCATTCCTTATCATATCAAAGCAATACTCAAAGAATACAAAACATAAGTGGGTCATTGGTCTTTTCAATATACATGTTTCGTGGCCACACCTCCACTTTCCTATTAAAGATATTGCCATAAGTAGAAAAAGCAGTGTGAAGAAGAAGAGGGAATTGTGACAACACAAGGAGAAAAACAGGAACACTTGAAAGGATTACAATGGGAACCACACCCCACGAGTAGTTTGTATGCTTTAGCATGAGACGAATGGTAGAAAGAAAGGCTATCATCATGCTTAAAATGGAGATGAAAAGTGAAGAGAGACCAAAAAACAATTTTGCGGGCATGGATTTGAGGAATTTTTCTTCTGAGTACCGAGATGTAAGGATTGCTAGAAACATGAGAACAGAAGTGGAAGCAGATAGGAGTGATAATATAGTTGAGAATAGAAAAGCCTTAAAAAATTGTTGTTTGATGAATAATGGGTAGCCAAAAGTTTGATCATTTCCTCCTAGCACAGTGAAAGCTACAGCAAACATAATCGTCACAATTAGGGTGCCGACAACTGAACAAGAAGATGCTGTAGCTTTTATCCATTCCTCTCCCTGCTTTATTAAATCTCTATGACTTTCTCTAAATCATTCTTCAGCTGACATGCCATCCTTGTTTCTAGCTCCCCTAATAGTAGGAGGTGTCAAACTCTCCACCTCCTGCATTTGTTAACCCAATTGTTAATCATTTAACGTGATATATAAAAATTGTAAATAATATATAAAAATTGTAAGGAACCCCACAGATGGATAAGGCATGTCTTTTTTGTTTTAGAAAAAATCACTCTCAAATCTCACACAAGCAATTTTTTTTTGGTTGAAAAAAGTTTAAGTAAGTGGCATTCTGAGGGCCTAGCAAGGCCAAAGCATACCTTTGAGTTCAAAGATTAGAGAAGTAGTTACAGATTGCTCAGTAACAAGGTTCTTACATTACCACTGGGATTTAAACCCATGACCTTGTGGGTTATTTGGCCAAATCCCCCATGTAGAAAAATCTCATAAAATTACAAAATTACTCAAAAGTCTCATGCTGTTTTAACTAAAATTGTCTATTTGCTATATTCAAGTTGTCAATTACTGCTGGATAATTATATAGCTAGTGATCGTAGTTGCTCAGTTGATAACTAAGCAACATAAGTAACAACTATATCTATCAGTAATATAATTAATAACTTGGGTAAAAGATGTAGTACTTTAGAGTAATTTTCTGACTTTACAGGACTTTTATGCTTAGATTACTAAGTGGGGAACCTTGAGAGTGATTTTACCTTTGTTCTTACCTTAAACCACTGCAATTCTCTTTGCATTTGTAATGTCGGTCCATAGATGCGATTAAAAAAGGGAGCTGGAGCTTGAGTAGCTGCCACATGCAGCATTGTATTTCCATCAACATCTTTACTTGTAGCAACAAGATCCTTGAAACGAACACCATGAATAAGGTTGAAGACTCTAGCTTGTCGATTACGAACAGCATAGCAGAAAAACGTTTTGATATGAGCTGTCCCCAATTAGCAGAAAATCTGGGTTCACTTTTGATATCTGAAGCACAAACTCAACATTCCCTTCTGTAGCTGCAAGAAATAGAGCATCTGCATAAACACTCACTTGGTCGATCCTGCTTGCATTCCTACAAACTAGGCCAAGAATTTCATCTGCTTGTGCACGCAGCAACTTCAGCTCCTGTATTTCTTAATTACTGGTTTTGATATGCAATACAAGTGTTTTTTTTCCCTGTTAGTTAAGTTTATGATAATTCAAAACTTAAACACGCATGCAATTTTAGGAAGAAATTATAAATACACTCACACATTTAGCTATATATATATACCAACCTATAAGTTTATCGGTGGAGGAGATGAGCCTTTGTAGTAAACAATGCCCTGTCGCAACTTTGCAAGTGTCAGCTCCGTGCATCAAAAACTGGAAGAGCTAATCCTAAGTTTAAGAATATTTCTTGTACTTTTCGCTGAAGAAATGTTTAATAAAACTTTTGTTTTGTCTTTTTCTATATAAAAAAGGTTTAATTAAAGATGGTTGGCATTATCGATGTGAAACTAGAAGAAGAAAAGGGCAGGGAGAGAGAAAAGAAAGGGGTGAGAAAGAGAATCGAGAGAAGATGTCGGGAAAAATATGAATTCTTATTCAAATCAAGTCTATCCACCCTAAGGTTATTCATAGAGCTCTATAAACTTTAAAATAATAATAATTTAAATCTAAATTGTAATCTATGTAAAATTAAAGACAATAAAATGATTTCTTATTTTATTTGAGATATTAATGCTGAAATGATAAAGATATAATGAAAATAAAACCCTCAATTATTTTCTTCACACATATATGCTCACCTAGCGTTGTAAGCTTTTCTTGAGCTCTATCACTTGTGTCTTGTTGTTGGATGGGTAAACGATCACGATCCAATCTTGGGCTTGAACTTTTGTCTATATCTTACATTTTAAATAAGAGGAATCAGAGAAAAGGGGATATATCCTCGATCGATCTTATAATTAACAATATATAATCTTTTTCCCATTTTAGTTTACACGTACTATAGAAAGGCACACAAATAATGAAATTGCTAATAAATCTATATATTAATCTATGATTGAATTTCATTCAGACACAAAATTAAATTAGGTTTCGGTCTACTTGAGCCATATAATGCTGCACTGTAGATTCTAAACAAAGGAGAGCATAAAATATAAACATTATTATGAAAAAGAGAGACAGTTAGACATATTTAACTAGGGATATACTTACAGTCAAAGATCAATCGTTTCCAAAAGATAAGTTCATTTCACCTGGGAATTGCAGAGTTCATGGTTGCTATACCATAAATTGGTTTCCAACCCTCTTTATCCGATGCAAAAAGCAAATCTTGGCATCGATTAAGCAAGTCCAAAGCAATATCTGTATATCATAGTAATACCATATGAGAAAGTACAACAAATCAGCAGCTAGTCGTATATTAGGGATTACCAAACATATATTTAAACGGTGAGAGAGAATATAAAATATTATAAATTAATCGATGATGACTAATTATAAGGTTCTCAAGTAACATTGATTACATACCGTAACATTGTGTTTGGAAACAGCAATGAAGTAGCATAGCACCCTGCAGAGGAGCATTCTCTGGGTGGAGGTAACTCAATGGAGTTTTAGAATAAAGATAACGTCCCATATGTTGATGACCATTCAGAAAAGCCAGAGTGAGAGGAAGTTCATCAGTTGAGTTTGCAATGCCGAGTATGTTGGTGTTCTTATTCACCAGGCATTCTGCAACTTGAGTGATTCCCGTGATTGTAGCAATTAAAAGAGGCGTGTTGCCAAAGTCATCAGTAGTTTCTAGGAATTCTGAAGGCACTAATCCCTCTAGCTCCTCATCTATAAACCTATGACCAAACAATGCAGCCACGTGAAGTGCTGTTTTGCCTGAAGAAGTGATTTTAGCAGTCAAGACACTAGGGTTTTCATCTAGGGATGCTTATGCCATGGTCCAGTTGTTTGCACATATTGCTTTGTACAATGTCTTCCCCTTTTCTATCTGTTCCACTCGCTCAGCCTTCACCCGTCTTTCTTCCTCTGCCGGCTCCCCCTCAGCCTTAGCCAGTCTTTCTTCCCCTGTTGCCTCCTCCTCAGCCTTAGCCGGTCTTTCTTCCCCTGCGGCCTCCTCCTCAGCCTTAGCTCGTCTTTCTTCCTCCGCCGCCTCCCCCTCAGCCTTAGCTCGTCTTTCTTTCTCTGCTACCTCCTCCTCAGCCTTAGCCTGTCTTTCTTCCTCCGCTGCCTCCTCCTCGGCCTTAGCCCGTCTTTCTTTCTCTGTTGCCTCCTCCTTGGCCTTAGCCTGTCTTTCTTCCTCCGCTACCTCCCTGTCAACCCTAGCCGGTCTTTTTTCCTTTGCTTTCTTTTCAACCTTAGCCTTTCTTTCTTCATCCACTGCCTTTTTCTCCGCCTTAGCTCGTCCTTCTTCCTCCGCCTCTTTCTTTGCCTTGCCACGTTCCCTTGGATAGTCAACTACAACTATCCCACGATACATGTGTGCCGCCTCTCTTGCACTTATCACTGTCTGTTCTTCTGTTGGTATTTGAGGCCATCTTGGTCTGATTGCCGGTCTATAAAATTTGTCGATTAATTCAAATCCTTCTAGCCCTATCTTATGCTGGTCTGCTGCTCGGGTTCTTTTCTCTGTGATGATCAATTAATGTATCCACAACATGTAATTAAGCTTGCATGAATTTATGATTAGGTTAAATAGTTAAATCGTGAAAAGAATCTTGAAGGACATAATGTTTTCTTCAATTTTGAAATTATTATGGTACTTAAACTAGGTGTTAAATTAATTGTTATAAGAAGAAAAAGCTTAAGCACTTAGCTCCTAGTAACATAAGGACATGTGATTTTTTTATTCATGTTATTGATACTTTTAAGTTTTAACCTTACTTATCCTAATATTTACAACATTTATAGCTATATTTTTTATATCCCTAAATCATTTGAGGTATCTAACAAAGTGAGGGGGCGATTTTTCTGTCTCGTTGAGATTTCTTGACTTTAAAAAAATTAAACCAAACATATAACATGATTAAAAAATTAGTACATTCTAATTTCTAACTCTTCCAATTCACTTTCTAACATTTGCAAAATTTATACCTATATATATTTTGAGATCCCTAAATTTGAGATGTCTAACAAAGTGTAGCGGGAAAACTTTGGAAAATCACTCTTAAATCCCACACCAGCAATTTAAATATAGAAAAAGTCTCACAAAATCACAAAAAAAGGATTGAAAAAGTAAAAGTAAAAGTAAAAGTAAAATAATCAAAATGTGGAGGGAGATAGGTGAATCATATTGATAAGGGAAAAGGATAATTTAATTTATGAGGCTGAAAATTATGATTCATGATATTTTTGAAGGGTGTAATGATTCTCATATTCATGATATGTGTTATTAAGTTTTATTATACTTATGAGAGGGGAGAGTGATTTAATTCTTTTTTTTTAATTTTTTAAATCCATTCAATTCACATCCTTTCTAACAACTAAATGAGGCCTTAGTTGTTAAATGAACAACTCCACTAACAACTATCTAACAGCAATTGATAACGTCAATATAACAAATTGACAAATTCAATAAAGAGTAATTTTGTGATTTCATTAGATTTTTCTATAATTTGATTGTCTACATGGAACCTGAGAGTGTTTTTCTCAAAAACTTTTCTAGCTCGTTGAGATTTCTTGACTTCAAAATATTAAACCAAACAATAAAATGAAGGTTAATTAACTTTTTTCTATAAAACAAAATGAAGATTTTTTTTGTATAAATGGCCTGACCTGATTCCGGTTACTTCAACGACGAATAGCTAGGCATTCTGACTATAATGCACTCAAATCTCCAGTTTTATATATCTTGTCACCATGAAAGAAAAAGAGTAAATTACTAAATCAAATATATCGACATGATACTTTTTTGAATTATATTCTTGTCATTATCATTTAGTAATTTATTTTTTATGGTGATGTATGAGCTTATTATGAGTACTTGAAGTATGATATAGTCGGGATAATACAAAAACATAAATAAGATTCAAAGTATTGCAACATGTATGTTGGGTTCAAAAAATATATATTGACTGCAAAGTATTTTGAGGTAAAAAGAAAAAGTATTGCAACAATATACAATACTTCGCAGTTAATATTACAAAAAGTTTGTGTATATTATATGTAAAGAATAACTTTAAAATATGTTAATAACTAGCTAGTACGCGGCTATTAATAAGAACAAGCGCCTTACTCAATCTGTTGCAAATAAAAAGAGAAGTTATTGTATCAAAAAAAAAAGAAGTTATTATGATCAATAATAACTAATTTCATCAACATACTCAAAAATAAACATTATTTCTAATCACAAGCCATTATTATTACTCAGTAAAAAAGCAAGTATATATATTGCATTAAAAAAGAAAAAAAAATAATAACAAGAACGAATTGCACTTACCACTTGTTCTTTGCTACGGCCACCACAGAAGCTATGTGAACGTAGCATTGCTCCATCTCACCAGCAATATATATTGCACAATCGAACAAATGTTTGCTTGCGTTAGTTTCCAACGAATCATCAACCGCTTTCTTTTTGAATAAAATAATTCTTGATTAATTGTAATATATTACCAGAAGAAAACACATAAATAAAGTAAGATTCAAAGGATTACATCACAATACATATTTTTGAACAACCTAGATTCACAAAATAGTACTCCCCTGTTAAAAAATATAAAGCATTTTTAATCAAACCTCACTCTCAATAAAGTAGTTATTTATCTTCAAACTAATTCTATATTTTCACATTTACCCTTATTTAATAAAGTATTTCACTCTAAATTAAATATAAAGTGATTTATTCAATAGGAGTACTTTTAAAAAAAAGCAATGATTACATTTTAAAAGACTAAAAAGATCTTAAATTTTTTAATATCAAACTTCTTAAAAAATACCTTACATTTTTTAATAGAAGGAGTAATACAATGGGCAATCTTTATCTTTATATCTTGTAAAGTTGGTCAAAGTGCTTCCAAAAGATTTTATTTTGCTTTATGATTCAAAATTAATAATTTATTTAATTTTTTAAATTAAAGCTGCAAGCGACACAACATTAAAAAAAATATTTTTAAAAATTTTATTTTTACTAAAATATACATTGAGGTAATAAATTTTAGATTCATCTATATATAATTTTAAATTTTTAATATGCCCAGTGCTTGGGATAAAATTTAATTTTGGCTTCAAGCCGTTTGGGCTAAAAATTCACATGAGTCTTTTAAAAGAAAGGTGATTGTTTGTTATCAAAACAAAGTGATGCATCACTTCAAAAATGGCAAAGAGTGGAGGAATTTATAAGAAAAATTTTAACTAGTGGCCTTAAAAAATGTAGCATGGAACCATAGGAAAACTATTACTTTGCGCCTGTAAAAGGAGAAGCTACCAAACCCACAAGGTCTCTCTTCAACTCTAGAAACTACACACAATTTCTAGAGACATGTTCAATAATTCAACCGTAAAATATACTTGTCAAGTGCAAAAACCTTGATCATGCATTATTCTTTGCTTCACCTAGCGTCACTCCTTTTATCCTTGAGAAAATTTAACATGGTGTCCTTAGCGCACTAGAATTCAACAGATAGCAGTGAGTTCTCTAACAACCAATAGAGCTTCAGTTCGTAACAGAATAACAATAATAGTGTGCCAATGCTTTTTTCTTTAATTTTTCATCTTTTATTTCCAATATTTCCATTTTATCATTATCAATATCATGTATGATGCAAGTCTCACATGTTTCTTGATCTTTATTTCTCCATTCCCTTTACTTTTAAGAATTTATATTCGAGAAAATTGTGATAAATGGGCAAATTATCCCCAAACTTTAAGTCAAATAATACCATAAACATGAACTTGTTTATTGTGTAAATTATTTTTTCAACTTTTAAAAATGATGCAATCAAGTCCTTATTGTTAACGAAAGTTAACTTTAACTATTAGTTACTTAGAAAATGATTGAAAAGGACCTTAAAATTACAAAAATTGACCAATATCTAAGTGCATGTAATACTTTTTCAGTACAACAATAACATATCACACAAACAGTAGAAAAGTTAAAAAATCTTACCTTGCCTCTTCTACAAGATGTATGCAAGTTCCCCCTTGTCACTAGCCACATAAACACTTGTACTTCTTCAGTCCCTTCCAACTCCAAATCTGTTCCAGATTTTTTCCCTAAGATCCTTATCATAGCCCCCCCTCCTTTTTTTTTTTTTTTTGCTTTCACTCTGGTATTCTAGGTCTTTAACTCAAACTAATCTAGTCAGCAACTTGTGGGCACACTTCTTTAAGAGGCATACCTCCCATTGAAAATTTAATTATTGCTGCATACCCAAGACTAAAACTTAAAACCTCTAATTAACCTGTACCAACCCTTCAGTTAGTCAATCCAAGTACCCAGCAGTCCTCAATCCTCACCACCATGACCCTTTAATACATCAAACATATCAACTGAAAACTTCCTGTTTGCGGATTTGCACCATATATATGATAGAATCTTCCCTTTCACTCTTAACAGGAGGAATACATGCTTGGTAATCCTTATAGCTCTAATATTTCTTATTCCATTCAGCTTTATTTCCATCTCAAAGATTTCTTCGTTAGAATACATAACCATACTCATGTTATTACAAGTACAATGGCAAGTTCCTGTAAAGTACTCAATAACATACAACGACAACAACAATATCGTTATTACTTTTGTGTTGATAGGTATTAGATACTACCAACTAATACAAATCCAAGCAAGATATCAAGCCATAAATGGGAAAAAGTTAAGACTAACTATTCACACACATTCATCTGGTTTTGCTTTTCATCATATTCATATGAGGTTTTATTTAATGGGTGTTATAAAGTCCCATAATATTCAACCCAATTAACTTCATTAGTGATGAAATAGCATTATTATATCAACCAAAAAGTACTGCAAATGCTATTGCATTAAAAATATAAATCATGTTTGAAAGAACGAAATGCACATACCACCGTCCCTCGCTTCGACCTCCATACGAAAGCTATGCCTAGAAATGACCCCATCTCACCAGCAATATAATATAATATTGCTGTGATGGAACATATATATAATTAAGCTTGCTTTGCGTTAGTTTCCAAGGAATCATCTATCCCTTTTTTTCCGAGTATTTTATATCTTCATGCATTTGTTAAATATATTTGTTGCTTTTCAAAATTTTGTGGTTTTACTTTTTATAGTAGAATCAGGCCTGTTTGTTTCAAAAACTGTTTTTGGTTTTAAAAAACTTGTTTGGATAAGTGCTTTTGATTTAATTGTTTTCAAAACTATTTTTTTATTTTTTTAAAACAAAAAAATAAAAATAACCTCAAGTTGTTTTCATTTTATTTTTCTTTTTTTCAAAATACATTACGTTAAATTATTGAAAATTACAATTATCGTAACCAATTTTTATCAAAAATCACCACTATTAACTACCTAACCATCACTATCAGTTTATTTTTAAATTTTAAAGCTATTTTTAAATTAATATAATCAAACATATTTTTATTTTGTTTTTTTTTTGAAAAATAATTTTAAAAATTATATTACAAAATAGTTTTTAAAACCAAAAAATGAGAACAGAAACCAAAGAGCCCTCAGTTTCTCCTTTTCAATTATATGTTGCTTGATGACCTTGGAGGAAGCGAATGACAATGGAGGAGGGAGGAGAAGAGATAATTGAGATCCACTTTAGTTTCTTTTCTTCCCCTACAAGGATTTACGTTGATGTAACATTATCTTTCAAGCTAATTTTGGATGCAATATAATGAAGGAAAATTACAAGCTTCAAAATTTAATGTAATTGTCATGCTTTGCAAATCTTGATACATCAACAAAACAGGCATTTAGTTATAGAAACATTTTGGATATATTGTATAGGCATCACAGTCTTTGCATAAAACAGTGAAACTTATAGATTATATAGTATATATGACTATTAATACTGATCATTCAATAGAAGACGAGTTACCAAAGTTTCCTAAAAAAGAAAAAGGAAAAAAAAAGGAAAAAGGAAAAGACAAAAGGAAAGAAAGAAAAAGAAGAAGTTCCAAATATATTCCACGATAAAGTTAAAAGCTCGCGCTTTATATTTTATTACCGTCTTTGGAACAAGTTGTCTCTTTTTGTTATTATGAAGCCCTTAGGCATATAAAATAAAATGAATTATTTGATTATATCAATCAATCAATATATATAATATATGAATTACAATATTCGTAACTCATGATAAGCCATAATTAGTACATCTCATTATTTGACTTTGTACAAAACATGAATATAATATCAGATTAAAATACTAAATGGTTCTTTAAAAAATAAAACAATAAATTAAAGTGTGTTGAATACGTAATTAATACAATGATAGTTATACATATATTGATTTACACTTTTTCGCATCCTGTAGTTGAAAAAATGAAAAAGGAAAATTATATAGAAGTCATATATAAATAAATTAATCACTAACTAATCCCTTGAATTTAGTTATTGCATATTAACAAGTTTCAAATTAAAAGTTAGGCAGTAATATTGAAAAATGTGTGAAATTACTCGAACAAACCTTTGACCAAATATATAGTAATAAAAGGGTAAGAAGGAAGTCGCCTTTTTCAATTCAACAATTTTTTAGTCTTTTCTTAAGACTATATGTCTACTATTTGTTCATATACTTTAGAAATTAGATAAAAGACTCTCTTCACCCTGAGTTAATGATATAACATTTATATATATATGTAAATATAAGTTGTCCTTAAATTACGTTATCTTTTCAAATTAGGG